GTGATGTGAGAATCACAAATCAAAAAGAGTGGGAAACAATGCCTAGAGAAACTGGCTCCTCGTGGTCCGAGGTCCCCCATCTTCGCTAACGCGTCTGTATGTCGTGTCTTTGGTTTTGTTTACCTCAACCCTTGTTTTAGGTCTTTTCCGAGTGTGTCTCGTTGTGTTTAGGTCGTGCACCTTTATATTTGAGTCCTCCCTGCTGTGTTCAGTTGTAGGCTCGATATCCCGGTTTGAAAAACCCTCATTCGATTTCAAAAATCACTTACACTCGGAATGCTGTGCCATTCTCTACATTTGAGCATGTTTCAACCCTAGCTGGTTTCACCGCTGTAGGCCGTCTTGTCAGATTGGGCTGTTTTGTTTAGAATTTGCTGTGTGCAGAATGAATCGAATGCTGTGTTATGGGCTGTATGCAGATTAATTCCCAACAGAGTAAGGGCTGTGTGTCCAAGAATCAGGCAGTGGCTTGCTTTGGCTGTTTAGTTATCTGATTATTACAGTGCGAGTGTTCAATTTTCAGACAACCAATCAATTTCATTTACATTGAGGTGTAACATGATGAGATGCGATGCAATACTTGAGATATGTAAATGTAACACTTTTTTTAAGCAAAAATCTGTTCATTTCATGATCTTTTTCAAATGTACAAGTTTTGGAAACAAAAATCTGCCTGCGGCAGTACAAGGTAATCTATCTACCAACAAAAAGAAAAGTACAAGAAAGAAGAAGGTGACAAAAATCCGCATCTGTGTCGAGCACTCCAAGGGCCGTCAGTCTGTCCTGGTCCTCTTCCTGGACGAGGGTCCAGGAGCATCATCAGCGTCGTGGGGGCCGTCAGTCCGTCCTAGTCCTCTTCCTGTACGAGGGTCCAGGAGCATCATCAGCATCGTCGTCAGAGCCCGAGCTAGAACCGTCTCCGGTCTCCTCCTCTGATGACTCGGACTCCGGCTCTGCCTCCGCCTCTGACTCCTCGTCATCATCATCGTCCGGGACTGGAGCTCGCGAGCTACTCCCGACATGAGTACGCCCTCCCCTGGTACGGGGAAATATCCTGCCCCCCTCATCTCTCCCCCGGGCAGGGACAGAAGGTCCGGCTGAAGCACCTCCTGCCATGGGAATCTGGAAAGGAGGCTGAAAAAGTACACAAAGGGAAATGCATCAGTACACTGTAGACAGTTTAAAGGTGCAGAATACAGTGTATGAGTACAGCGTGAGAATGCCGTGAGCAGTTTATCAATGCAGAATGCAATGCCGAGTATAGTGTATGAATGCCGTGAGCAGTTTAACAGTGCAGAATGCAGTATATGAGTACAATGTGAATTGCGTGAGCAGTCTATCAGTACAGAATGCAGCGTGTGAGTACAGTGTATGAATGCCGTGAGTAGCTTATCAGTACAGAGTACAGTGCAGAATGCAGTGCATACAGTGTATCAGATACTGTGAGATCAGTGTATCAGGTGTTGTGCCGTGCATCAGATTATGTAAAGCAGTGTATGAATGGTTTGAGGCCAATGTCAGAAGAACATACCGGTATGCTGTAGAGGGCTAGGAGGTCAAATGTCCGCTGGAGCATCCCCATCATCGAGGCATTCATCGCCAACGACTGACGGGTGTACCCAGAAGAAGCCTGCAAAAGTATCAGATGCATCAATATTCTGTGGAATATCAAGTAAACTGAGATGAATAACTATACAAAAATGCAGTGATACATACTGGTGGTAAGTCGGGCACGTCAATGAACTCGTGACCAGCCGGTGGAGGGGCGAAGGGGATCTGATAGGTCGACCCACCCTGCCCCTGGAAAGTCAGTACAGCGGGCAGGGCAGGCCAGCCAACTCCCCGTCCTCCCTGCACTCCGCCCCTGCCACGGACCCGGGCTCTCCTCGCAGCCCCTACTCCAACTCCCGCTCCGGCCCCAGCCGCCGATGCCACAGGCCTGGCCCCCTCTGCTCGACGGCCGCTCAGGGGGCGTTTTGGTGTTACTCATTTGGCTGCGCGTTTGATTCTGTTCACATTATTTTTCAGCCACCGTTCTACTTTCTTTGCCACTTTCTGGTAAAGTTTTAGAGTACAAAATGTTAGGTTTAAATTTTTCATTAAAAACTTGCGTAGGTGTGAGTTTCATATGGAAGTGAGTTCTATACTCATGCGTTTATTTAATAATTTTTTTTATAATTATAGTATTGCTTGCATTTTAATATAGTACAGTGTATAGAGGGCATGTTTAATTGACAAAATTAAAGTATAGGATTGAGATTATTAATCTATAGGTCTAATAATTCTACGTTTGTTTTGAAAATTTGTTTCAGAATTATTAATTCAATAGATAATTAATCCAACAAATTTTAGTAATGGGGGTAAGAGTAAGATTATATATCCTAACTTGAGAAATAAAATAAAAAGACTCTTTTAATTAGTGCTCTTCTTTGACCTGTTTGGTAGAGCTGTTGATAATTAATTCAATAGATAATTAATCCAACAAATTTTAGTAATGGGGGTAAGAGTAAGATTATATATCCTAACTTGAGAAATAAAATAAAAAGACTCTTTTAATTAGTGCTCTTCTTTGACCTGTTTGGTAGAGCTGTTGATAATTAATTCAATAGATAATTAATCCAACAAATTAGCTGTGATTAACTTATTTGGTGTAATTGTGGAATTATAGATTTAAGCAGCAGAGTAGGGTTTGGTTAATAAGCTGTAAAATAATTTTTTACTGTGTGATTGTCCTTTTTGCCCTTATATGATATAAAAATGATTATTTTGTCATTTTCTTCAGTTTTCATTTTTTTAAAAATTATTTCATTAATAGAAGTTAATATAATTAGTATCAATTAATATAAAAATTGATACATTTCATTACAACAATTGTTATTTCATTTAATAGAAGTTATTTCATTTTTTTATTATTATTTCACTTTTTGTCATTAATATCAATTAGCAACAATTGTTTTTTTTTATTACAATACGAAAGAATTTTATATTATAAGATTCTTTTAATAGAAGTTACTTAATTGAAATAAATTTATATCAATATTAATTGCAATAAAATTGTGCAATTTATGTAATGGATATAAATTGCACAATTTATTTCAATATTAATTGATTTTTTTTAAATTAAATAGATGTTAATTGAAACAAATTTTTTTTTTTTTTCATTACAAATTTGCATAACCCTAGCTACCATCAGTGGTCTGCAAGAAGCCCTCTCTCGGCTCATCCATCTCCTCCACCACCACCAAAAACCCTAGATCTGAGGAGCTTGCTGTTGCGATTTGTTCTTGAGGGTTGCAGTGATGGCGGATTCCGATGATGATCATGGCGATTGTGATAGTTGCAGAAAGAGTGGAAGAAAAAGAGAGGTATCGTAGTGGTGGTTGCGTGTGATGGTAGCAATGCGATGAGGAGAAGATGTGAAGCAGAGGGAGGCGCTATGGTGGTGTCGTCGAAGCCACGGAGGAGGAGATCAACAACCGTTGCAGAGACGTTGACGACGATGGCATAGGAAGCGGATGGGGTTGCGGCGTAGGTATGCTGCGGGAGACGAAGATAGAGAGAAAAATGAGAGAAAGAGAGAGAGAGAGAGAGAGCTTTATTGGAAATCGCCTCTCACCGCCAGAAATCGCCATCTCTCTCTCACAGTGAACAGTGATATCTTTGTGGTTTATATAATGGCAATTTGGTAACACTTTAAATTGGTGAATGGCATTTAAGTAATTTTGATCCTCTTCCACTTAAGCTGAGAATCAAAAGTACCCCTAGAGCAGATTCTCAAAATCAAATTATTTACCTTCAAAAAAAGCTGTTATAAGTTTAAGTTGGTATGATTAAGTTGGAACAAACAGTTAGTTTTAGTTAGTTTTAAGCTAAAAGTTATAAGTTGGGTAAAAAAAGTTGAGCCAAACACCCCCAATGTAATATAAGCTTGGGGTATGCCACTCCCCTGTCCTCGTCTTGACTAGAGAGGTGTTGTTTAATCATTTTTTATGATTCTCCGAGTATATTATTTATTAAAAAAAATTAAATTGATTCAATAATTATAACATATTTATTTTATCTTGCATTTGTCTTTAGAAAAAATGATTTATTTTTAAAAATATACTTGTCTATTTTTTAAGGACAAATATGATAAAATAAAAATATTATGATTATGGAATCATCTTAAATTTTTTATTTTTTATTTATTTTTATAAGATGATATACATGAGGAGACCCTGAAATCTTTTCACTTTTTAATTCATAAAATCTTCTTTTATTTTTTGAAGTGAATATATTATTCCCTCCCCCAAATCTTTTTACTTTTTAATTCGGGAAATCTTCTTTTTATTTTTTTAAGTGTATATTATTCCACCATATTTTTTTTTTTTTTGGAGTTACATTATGGCCAAGTTTGGCAAGTTGTCAAAAAGTCACAAAGTTACTCAAAAAGTTAAAAAGTTATCACTATTCACCAAAAGTCAAAAATTGCGACTGCACAACTCTCAATTATAATTTTCTCCTACACACTAATTTATACAATTTTTCAATACATATTTTTTTCATAAAAAGTCAAAAAGTTAACCTAAACATTCATATTTTTTTTCCTCAATTTTTTAGTCCAAAAAGACAAAAAGTGCACTTAGGCCAAGTTTGACAAGTTGAAAAAAAGTCAAAAAGTCAAAAAGTCAAAAAGTTAAAAAGTTACTCAAAAAGTTAAAAAGTTATCACTATTCACCAAAAGTCAAAAATTACGACTGCACAACTCTCAATCCTAATTTTCCCTTACACACTAATTTATACAATTTTTAATACACATTTTTTCATAAAAAGTCAAAAAATTAACCCAAACATCCATATTTTTTTTTTTCAATTTTTTAATCCAAAAAGACAAAAAATACACCTATTTAGAACACCCCAAACAATCCCTAATAATTCTATGCAAACTTTGTGGAACACACACGGCAAATTTTGTGGAACACACACGGGAGATTTTTTTCCCTTTTTCCCTCTGCCCTGCCCCTCCCTTTTCCCATCTCACGTTTTGTAGCCCTAGACAACAGTCTCTCTCTCTCTCTCACTTGAATGGAGGCGAGCGACGAGCGGCGACAGTGGTGGCGAGCGACGATCGACTATTGGCGACAGTGGCGGCGCGCAGCGATCGAAGCATCGATTCGAAGGTATTCTTCTCTTCTTCTCTTCTTCTCTTCTCTTCTCTTTGATGGATCTTCTCTTCTCAACCTTTGTTCTGCGAGTGTGTTCTGTGTGTTCTGTGTTTTTTTTTATTTATTTAATTTTTCCAGTAATTAGGGCTTCTAATCGGTAGCGAGCGGCGGCAGTGGCGATCGAAGGTATTGTTCTCTTCTTCTCTCTTCTCTGCTCTGCTCTGTTTTTCTCTTCCCTTCTCAAGAATCGTTATTTGATATTTTTTCAGCTCTTGTTGTTGTGTTCATCAAAATGATTTTTAGTTATTATCTATTGAAAGGGGTTGTCGTGAGTGATTGTGCATTGTTGATTTTCCCCATTTTTTTCGGTTCATTCTCATCCACTCAAAACACTTCACCTTCACTGATTAAGCATTTTAATATCACAATATTTTAAAGAATCATTATTTCAAACCAAACATGCTAGAAATGTGTGGGTGTGAATGTATATATTTGTTCAGACCAATCAACACCGAATTTTCCCTATTACACTGCTAATCATGCTTTCACACAGGTATCCAGTGCTGGAAACAGTTCAGAAATATCTGTGGCCCAGACTGTGCAAGCTGGATGAGCGAACACTGTAATTGCAGAACTCCCTAAAACCATTCATCTCTATGGATGGCATTTCACTTCCCTTTAAAAATTGAAGTTAACAGAATTATCATTATATTGTTCTGTACATTTAACTTATTTCCATATCATGAACTACTGGTCTGAGCTACATTACCAGATGATTGCATTTGGAAAGGTACGTTATCATAATCCTGCCCTTGCTAAATGTAGTTGACTAACCATAAGATAAGCACTTTTCCATGACAAATCATTCTTTATAGTTTTACAGGTTTTCTGCACCAGGAGCAAACCAAATAGCAATGCATGATCAATGAGAGAAGAGTGTAGACACTTTGCAAGCGCATTCGCAAGGTATGCATTGAAAGCTTTGATTGATTACTACTTTTAGGTGACAACCAAAAGCTTTATCGTCACCTCCATAGTGTTCAAGACCCAAGAACAGGCAATTAGAAAGTTGTACACATATTTCATAAATAACAATCTACAAATATCAAAGACACACAACAATATAATACAAGGAATATATTAGTCATCAGAAGGAGATGACGGTAGTCAGAGTCAAAAAATACTGCAACTATTAGTGTAATTTCATAGTAACATTGACAAGCACTAGAGGCTGTGGCTTTAAATCCTATCAGCATAAACTGATAAGATTTGAATGACAAATAAGGCCTAGCACACATTAAAAGCTTCACGTCCATAAAACATACAAAACAAGTATTATCCTATGCTAAAATTACCTGTTAAAAGAAACCTCATTGAACTGGTTTCAGATGAGGTCGCAATTTGTAGCACTTTGATAAGTTGGTGCCCAAAAAAAAAGGAAAACAATCATAATGTTGTTGAGTTTTGAACACACGACACAAGTATTTGAACCGTTCCTAATTTAATCTTTTAGCTCCTATCAAGAACAAAATCATGAATCATATTGGCTCACCATTTCTCAGACAGGCATTCAAGTAACAAGAAATATTAAAGTCTTCAGGAGGAAATACATCATTTCATAGTGTCTAAGATGCATCAAAGATAGATGACATTTGAGGCATTTCTGATTGCAACTTCTAGAGTACTGATGAAAATACATAAATCACACATAACAAGGTCTAAAAGGTGATCATTGGTCCTGATAATAACATTGCAGATCCAAAAAGATATTAAAAAATAAACTTTTAAGTAGAACATGGGTTGAAAATTTGTTGATTAGTTTTTGTATCTGGTAAAAATGAAAGGAAACAATATTTACTATACTAGATCGGGAAAAATACCAACATGCTAATTGTTTGATAATGTAGCCATCGGAGAAAAGCTAATCCGTTCTCTAAAGAACTGTCGTAGCTCATGTCCATTTCCAACAATTGAATACACATGCACCCACTCCGCTTGCACGGGGATTAGATTTGCATACAAATATATACACAAATGACACTGATAGTAGACTCATTTTCTGCAGTGCAAGGCTTGCCCTTCCAGGTCTAGAAGAGAAAAGTATAGTGAGTTCAACGATTCCCGTTGCCACTGACAAAAGCCCCTTATGTGGCAATCAAGCTCATGCCACTACCTCCAGCTGATAGCAGTGAACCTAAAGACATGCAATTAGTTGTGAGCAAGTATGAACCTATTGTTGAGGAAACAACACCATAACCAGAAACAACTGAAGTAACAAAAAGTGACATTGTGGATGCATTCTATGTGGATCCTGATGACATTCCTACAATCAAGCTCAACATTGAACAGTTCACACAGTATCTACAGAACTATATGCCAGAGAACATGGAACTGCATGTAGGAGATATGTCTGCGTCCATCACTACACCCAAACTGAAGAATGTGAGTCAACTACGGACAGAGCATCATGTGTAAGTAGGAATCTTCAAATTAAATTTCACTGTGACACATACAGTTAAATTTTATTTTCCTATTAGACAAGGAAATTTTGTAATCCGCGGTCAATTCAGTTTGACCGAAGTTACTGTCCAAAAGATAGTAGTTAGAAACTCTTTAATAAATGAAACCCCCAACCAGAAAAACAAAAACTTAGTTTGCTACCTTACCAAGCCAGTGGGGATCAAGTTAGATTTTATTTTATGAGTATTGACAAAAAAACCATTGAGGCATTAATATTTGTTAAATAACACAACTTGCTAAGATACTTTTTGCTGTACAACTAACTCCTTCCATCCTGCTGCAGGTACAAATTTCCAGATTCACACCCTCTTCTAAAAGGGGTTAGTTACCTCTACTTTTGTTCTGTGAGCATTTGTAAACAATTAGAAAAGAATGTAAGGACATACGTATCTACACGCATGAACTTCATTTAGAGTATATAAGTAGCCCGGGGTATGGCCAAATGGTAGACCAACACCACACAAATAAAATTTACTGCACCATACCTTGGGACAGGTGTAGGGACAAGGACAAAAGGATCATTTGGAGGAGGGAGTTGCATTCCTATTTTTTGACGATTATAAAAATTTGTGTAGCTAATCTATTAGGCAATAATAGATATAAATCAAAATGAAAAGTTTCATATAAATATATATAATAATAAAAAAATGGTAAACCTCATCATGAGTGTGTTAAAATCAGACAACTATTCATTCATAATTGGATTCATTGTGGACAAATACAACTGTCCAACTCCTCTCTCATTCCCAATGTCACGCCCGATTCTTAAATATCCATTGTACCCCCATTTTGTATCCTATGAATTCGAATTTCGAAAAACTTTCTAAATTTTTTTTCGCCGTGACCAATTATGACAACTACATGGCGAACAGTTACTTCATTAGGTTCTTTTTTATATAATACATCATTATTAGACCGGAAGAATTTCGTACCAACCATCGTGGTTCCTAATACCGGTTGAGTCGTCATTGTCAACATAAGATATTTCTCATTACATTGAGGTATTTTGATGAACCCATCAATGGTTTTTTTTTTTATCTTGTTATTACTATTTCTTAACATTGCATCATATATCATTGCGAACTCATAACAGTATTCAAGCAAACCTCCCCTTTCATTAGCTTTTGCATTTGGATGACAATTTATTAAGTCTTACCCAATTTACCATAGATTGAACTCCTACAACAATCCTATCCATAGTTTCAATGGTGATTGTCGTACTTCAAACGTAGCGAATGTGACTACCATTATGATTTTTTACTTCTATCATCTATGGAAATCGACTATGGTTTGCAGAAATAACCCACTTATTATCGTCAACTTTTAAATGTATGAAATTTTGTATAAAAAAATAAAATAATAATTAAGTAAAAAAATAAATAAAATATAAGTCTTATGTATTAAAAACAAAATCAACAGAAAAAAAATGTGCACTCGTTGATTTAATCTATTGACCAGCTACAAATTTATTGCTAAATTTATAAAATGTAGGTAACAAACTTATTAGCCTTCTATTATCATTTTCATTGAATTTCTTATCACACTCAACAAATGCCTTTCACATTATTTCAAAAATAGTAGTGTTTCACACTGTGACGTGTTTGAAACAAACAAAAAGAAATTATTGGTGAAAGAGAGCACACTATTCCAGTTTCAAATGTTGAGATGAAAGGAAAAACAAAACAAAAATCAAAATTTAACCCATTTGCCAACAAGAAAAAAATAAAAATAAAAAATTAAGAACAACTTTCTCTACATCAACAAAACCCTTGCTACTGACATTGATTGGGGAAAGGGAGGCGAGTTGCAAAAACGAATCTGTTTGGATAAAGGAATAGGGTCTTAGCTCATGCAAAGATTTGTTTTCTCCGTTTCGCTCCTTTTCTCCAATCGACGTCTGTAGCGAGAGTTCTAGTGATGTAGGGAGGATTTTGTCCTTAATTTTTTTTGTCGGCAGATGGGTTAGGTTTTGGTTTTTGTTCTGCTTCTCCTCTATTCACCTCAACATTTAGAACTGGAACAGTGCTCTCTTTCATCAGTTATTTCTTCTTGTTTGTTTAAAACATCTAAACAGTGTGGAATATTATTATTTGTGAAGTAATGCGAAAGGGATTTGTTGAGTGTGATGGGAAGTTCAATCAAAATGATAATAGAAGGCCAAGAAGCTTGTTACTTGCATTTTATAAATTTAGCATGGATTTGTAGCTAGTCAATGTATTGAATCAGCGGGTGGTGTAAGTTTTTTTCTGCTGATTTTGTTTTTAATAGATACGACTTATAGTTTATTTATTTTGTTACTTAATTATTAATATTTTTTTATACACAATTCCGTACATCTAAAAGTTGACAATGGTAAGTAGATTATTTTGCAAACCATAGTTGGTTTTCATGGATGTCTGAAGTAAAAAATCAAAATGCTAGTCATATTTGCTATGCTTTAAGTACGGCAACCCCATTGATTGTTGCAAAAATTGAATCTGTGGTAAATTGGCAAGACTTTATAAATTGTGATCCAAACGCAAAAGTGAATGGAATGGGAGGTTTTTTTTACTATTGTTATGAGTTCACAATGATATATGATGTAATATTGAGAAATTGTAATAATACGATAAAAACACAAACTATTTATGGGTTCATCAAAATAACCCAATATAATGTGGAATATCTTAGGTTGGCAGTGACGACTCAACTGGTATTAGCAACCATGGTGATTCGTTTGAAATTCTTCCGGTCTAATAGGGATGTATTAGATGATGGAGAAGATCCTAGCGAATAAAATTTTTGCCATGTAGTTGTCATAATTGGTTATGGTGAAAATTTTAATTTTTTTTTCGTAAATCAAAATTTGTGGGTTACGAAATGGGGGTACAACGGATATTTAAAAATCGCGCGTGACATTAGAGAGGAGTTTGACAGTTGTATTTGTTTGCCTTGTATCCAATTATGAATGAATGAGTTGTTTGATTTTGATACACTCTTGATGATGTTTACCATTTATTATTATATATATTTATGTAAAATTTTTCATTTTGATTTATACCTATGGTTGCCTAATAGATTAGTTACACAAATTTTTATAATCGTGAGAGGATCCTGATGCAACTCCCTCTTCCAAATGATCGTCTTGTCCTTACCCCTGCCCTTGTTATCCCATGGTATGGTGCGTTAAGTTTTATCTGTGTGGCGTTGGTCTACCATTTGGCTATTCTTCGTGTTACTTATATATTCTAAATGAAGTTCTTGTAGGATTGAGAAACACATTTTTTGTGGGCACCCAATGAAAAAAAAACTAAAGTAGTTTAATACTGGGAAGGTGGCATCCCTTACAAATGCTCAGATTCGGAGTAAAGATGTTCTTATTCCTCATTAACTGAAATCAAGCTTGAGTGATGCTAATAAATGCTTCCACGGTGAACTCTTTCATAATGATGGTCCAAGTGTTGGTGATTTGGTATGATGTCATGATCTCAAAAGGGCTCTTATCTGTAGAACTGTTGATTGAATTGTTATAAGCAA